CTTAGACATAAAATAATAAAAGACATAAAAATACATAACTACATGAAAACTGAACATTTCCCGTTAGTATTACATGTCCCCAGATAGCCTGGATCTGAGTGCATATTATTAGCGAATAGCGCTCAGATCCCACACACATAGTTCAATCGCCATGGAGCCAAAGTTCTTACAGTCTTTCGGTATACGAATGACTCCATGGGAAGGCTATCTGGGCTAAGTCTTTTCGTATGCTCTCAATCTCCCGAACGGCCGGTGTTCGCATGCTTTCGTGGAGGCAGCCAGGTGTTCCGTTGTTTCAGCGGTGTTCGGCAGAAAAAGTGTCCGTTTCAGTTCCATAGAAATAGAGCCAAACACCGCTGGGCGTTCGCTTGATTTAAAATGGCCGCTGCCTCGTGGTCGACATACGAACAACGACCACCCTGAATTCGGTTTAATTGAGAAGTGTCTGCGGTTAACCACAACGTTCTAATTGGGATCACTTCGTTAACCAGCAGCACACTCCTCACTTGGGTGGCCGTTCGTTCGGCAGGTTTGTTCGGGAAAAAGAGTCATTTGAATGGCTGGGCTATAGAAACCAGCCATTCATACGAACGGGGGACAAACAGACGAACGTGGTAAAAATCCAAGCAGACAGATGGTTCTGTCACACGGCTCCCTCCTTGTGCAGACCCGGCTTGACCCTGTGGCGGGTCAACTTGTGGATGACCGGACGACGAGGTGATGGAAACGTCTGTTTGTCGTGATAACCCATCTGCATTTCCGTTCAGCTTACCGGGCATTTCCGTTTAGCTTACCGGGTCTGTAGCTGATGGTAAAATTGTAGGGCTGCAAGGCCAAGCTCCATCTCAGCAGTCTCCCATTGTCTCCTGAGACCCGGTTAAGCCAAACGAGTGGGTTATGGTCCGTCACCAGGGAAAACTCTTGCCCATACAAATAGGGGCTTAACTTTTTCAATGCCCAGACCAAGGCCAAACACTCCTTCTCCACTGCCGCATAACTCACTTCTCTGGGTAACAACTTTCTGCTGAGATATGCGACAGGGTGCTCTCCTCCATCTTCCCCGACTTGGCTCAGCACAGCCCCCAGTCCATACATGGAAGCATCTGTATGGACGAGAAAGCGTTTGTTAGGGACTGGGGCTGCCAAGACAGGGGCATTCACAAGAGCCTGCTTCAGTGCCTGGAACGCAGCTTCACAAGCCGGAGACCACAGGACCTGCTTAGGCAAGTTTTTCTTGGTCAGGTCTGTCAGGGGCTTAGCAATAGCGCTGTAGTCAGGGACAAAACGTCTATAGTACCCTGCCGTCCCCAAGAAGGCCAATACCTGGGTCTTAGTAGTAGGTGTGGGCCAGTTAGCCACTGCCTCTACCTTGGCTGGCTCTGGTCTCTGGCTCCCACACCCTACTCTGTGACCCAGGTACTGTACTTCAGCCATACCTAGATGGCACTTCTCTGGCTTCAATGTCAGGCCAACGGCCCGAATTTTATCCAGCACTACCCCTACATGTACCAGGTGTTCCTCCCAGGACCCACTGTAAATCGCAATGTCGTCCAAGTATGCACAGGCAAATTCTTGGAAGCCATCCAGGAGTCTATCCACCATCCGTTGGAAGGTAGCCGGTGCATTTTTCATCCCAAAAGGCATGACCTTAAATTGGTACAGGCCAAATGGGGTGACAAATGCCGACTTGGGGATAGCATCCTCGGCCAGGGGGATCTGCCAGTAGCCCTTACACAGGTCTATGGTGGTCAGATATCGCCCCCTGGCAATACGATCTAGTAATTCGTCTACCCGGGGCATTGGGTAGGCGTCAGTGGTGGTCCGCTCGTTGAGTCGCCTGTAGTCCACACAGAACCGGGTGGTCCCATCTTTCTTGGGCACCAGGACTACAGGCGAGGCCCAAGGGCTGTCGGAGTGCTCGATAACTCCAAACTGGGTCATCTCCTGTATCTCCTTCCGCATTCCTTCACGGACTGCTTCAGGGATACGGTAGGGGGGCTGTCATAATGGGGTCTGTCCAGGGGTCTCTACCTTATGCACAGCTAGGGTGGTATAACCTGGTTCCTGGGAGAACGTCGCCTGCTTCTCCCATAACAACTGTTGCGCCTGTACCCTTGTTGTGGGGTTCAACCGGTCCCCTAGCTGTACCAAGGTAGTAAGGTCAGTCTGGGGATCCCTTTCTAATAGATCGGGAAGGGGTAAATTCTCAGAATCATCTGCAGCTGGGGCACATACTGCTGCAATATTCTCAGGTCTCTCCTGGTACTCTTTCAGCATGTTCACATGAAAGGACCGCTGGATCCTCTCATCTGCACAGCTGGCTATCAAGTAAGTAGTGTCACAGATCTGCGCCACTACCTTGTACGGGCAGGTCTTGATGCCTGCATCTTGTTGGCCTTCACGGGTTTGAGCACCAATACTTTTTGCCCAACCTGGAAGACCCGCTGTCGGGCACCCTGATCGTACCACCTCTTCTGTCTCCCCTGGGCCGCCTGGAGATTCTCCCTTACCATCAGGGACAGTTTCTCCATGCGGTCCCGGAGTTCCAGAACATATGGCACAATGGGGGTCCCCTCTTGCTCCGTCTCCCCCTCCCAGTGGCCTCTAATGAGATCTAGGGGTCCGCGGACCCTTCTCCCATACAGCAGCTCAAAGGGGGAGAACCCAGTAGATTCCTGGGGCACCTCTCTATAAGAAAATAATAGATGAGGCAGGAATCTCTCCCAGTCTCTGCAAGTGTCTGTAAAGGTCCTCAGCATCTGTTTGAGGGTACCGTTAAAGCGCTCGCAGAGACCGTTAGTCTGTGGGTGGTAGGGTGAGCTAAGTAATGGCTTAATGCCACACACCTTCCACAGCTGCTGGGTGAGCACAGCGGTGAATTGGGTTCCCTGGTCGGAGAGGATCTCCTTAGGGAACCCGACCCTAGTAAAAATTCTAACCAGGGCATCAGCAACCGTCTCTGCCTCTATGTTAGACAGCGCTACTGCCTCTGGATAGCGGGTGGCATAGTCCACCACGGTAAGAACGTATTTCTTACCTGATGGACTAGCCCTGGCCAGTGGACCCACGATGTCAACGGCTATGCGGGCAAAGGGCTCCCCTATAATAGGCATCGATAATAGCCTAGCCTTAGGGTGGTCCCCCCGCTTTCCTACCCGTTGACATGTGTCACACGTGCTGCAATACATCCGCACAGCCTGGTTGAAGTTTGGCCAAAAGAAATTCTGTGAGATCCTATAGGCTGTGCGGCGGGACCCTAGATGTCCAGCTAATGGAACATCATGCCCTATCCGCAGAATCTCCTGCCGGTACTTTGCAGGTACCACTAACTGGCGATTCGGCGGAGAGGCAACACTCTTCTGGGAAGGTTTAGGTATCCTATATAACCTGTCCCCCACCCACTCATACCGTTCCCCATCTATTCCTTCCTCTCCAGCATCTGCCCTGTCTTTGTACTTTTGGAGGGTCGGATCTGCCCGGGTTTCCCTCCCAAACTCCTCTGGGGAATCCCAGCTTAAGGGGACCTGCTCTGGGGTACCAGTCGGGGAAGGAGATCTTACCTGGGTCTCATCAGCAAGTGGGCTGGTTCCGGCAGCACGGGTCTGGGCACGGGTGGTCACTGGGTGCATATCTGCAGGGCCCATCGGAGCATAGGCTGAAACCAAAGGGGCCAAATCGTTTCCCAGAAGAACATCTGCAGGCAAGTCTTTCATCACCCCCACATCCACATGTCTAGCGCCCACTCCCCAATCCAAGTGTACCCGGGCAACAGGTAAGCGAAACACGGCACCCCCTGCTACCCTTACTGCCACAGTGTCCCCAGTGTGTTGATGCTCTGAGACCAAGTTCTTTTGGAGTAGTGTCATCGTGGCTCCTGTGTCTCTCAGCCCATTTACCACTCTGCCATTCAGCTTCACAGTTTGCCGATGTTGTTGGCGATTATCCTGGTGAGCTGCTTGCACTGGGTCTGCCTCGTGTAGGATGCCCCAGAATTCCTCCTGCTCTATGCAGTGAGCAGCAGGCTGAGGTGGGCGCTGGTTCCCATTGACTGGTCTCCTCCAGGACTGAGCCTGGTTGGCACTGTTCAGGGGGCACTCAGGAAGCTTGTGCACCAACTGCTTGCACCCAAAGCACCGGATGGGTTGGAAATACTCACGGGCATTAAATCGTGCGGGCTGTACAAAATTGTTAGCTGGCGGTGTGGCTGGGTTACGGTGTACTGGGGGTTGGTAGACTGAAGGAGCGGGTATTACGGCTGGTCGATACTCCAGTCTGGCAGGGGCTTTGGCAGCTGTACCATCCAACTTGCGAGCATCCGTGTATTCATCTGCCAGACGAGCAGCCTCGGGTAGGGTAGAGGGTTTTCTATCTCTGACCCACTCCCGGACCCCAGCAGGTAGTCTATCAAAACAGTGCTCCAGCAGGAACACTTGTAATACCTCCTCCCCAGTCACCGCTTGGCATCCAGCCATCCAGTGGGCTGCGGTACGATGGACTCTGCAGGCCCATTCCACATAAGAGTCCCCAACCAGCTTGTTGGTTTCTCTAAACCTCCGCCTGTACGCCTCTGGGGTCACCGCATACCTGGCTAGGAGCGCCTCTTTCACAGCCCGGTAGCTGGTGATCTCCTCCTCTGGGATGGCCCGAAACGCCTCACTAGCCCGGCCAGATAATTTCCCAGAGAGGATGGTGACCCATTCATCTGCAGGTACCTGATGTAGCGCACACTGCCTCTCAAAGTCTGCTAAAAACCCATCAATCTCTCCCTCAGTTTCCACAAAATTTTTAAATGCAGCAAAAGGTACCTTCTTTCTAGCAACCACATTATTATCGTACAGTACCTCTGCTGCTGCAGCTCCTCTTTCCCGGAGCGCCTGCTGTGCTGCTACTGCTGCCTGCACACGCACCACAATGTCAGCTGAGGGGTTGGGGCCAAAATGTGCCAGCCTTATTTGCACTGCCCGGTTAAATTGTATTTCCTCGGGTGTTAAATCCAAGGTACTGGGCACGTTGACTCTTTCCATTCCCGTTGCTGCATCCATCTCCATTAGCAAAGCAATAATCTCCCGTTTCTTTAAATTGCTTGCTGATCTTCCTCGGCGTTCCAATATGTCTTTAAGTGTAGCACGCCTTAATTCCTCGTACTGCATGTCTTGTAGCTGACCTCCAGTGCTGTAGGATTCATCCCGTCGCTTGCCACCAATTGTTAAGACACCTCCAGTGTCTTTAAGCCAAACCGCCGTTTAGTATACCTTCCCCGGCTGCAGTACAGTCTCCGTTCGCTTAATCTGTAACACACGAACCGAATGCAGGGGAAGCGGCAATCTCCCGACCGAGCTCCGTGAACGGCTCCAAACTCCCGAACGGCAATACACGAACTGCTGGTAATCGTCGAACAGCAATACTCTCCAAGCGGCTTTCGTTCCATCCAGCAGTCTCTAAACGTGAAGAAGAAATCCCCCCAATAACGAGACAGAAGCTCCGCATTGAGGGTCAAACAGAATCTGGTTTTACTGTGGGTTACCTGCCCATATTTATGCAGGTCTCCCACCTGGTGGACACTCCCCTAGGGGACCAAATGGGAGACTTAAACTACAGACAGATAGAGGGACATTTCAGACACACAGTCACATATTTTACCCACAGTGCATTATGATTCCCTCCCCTCTGCCCTGGAGTTAATTACCAAGTAACTCAATTAACTCCAGGACAAGGACAGTCGCCATCTTAGACATAAAATAATAAAAGACATAAAAATACATAACTACATGAAAACTGAACATTTCCCATTCGTATTACATGTCCCCAGATAGCCTGGATCTGAGTGCATATTATTAGCGAATAGCGCTCAGATCCCACACACATAGTTCAATCGCCATGGAGTCAAAGTTCTTACAGTCTTTCGGTATACGAATGACTCCATGGGAGGGCTATCTGGGTTAAGTCTTTTCGTATGCTCTCAATCTCCCGAACGGCCGGTGTTCGCATGCTTTCGTGGAGGCAGCCAGGCGTTCCCTTGTTTCAGCGGTGTTCGGCAGAAAAAGTGTCCGTTTTCAGTTCCATAGAATTAGAGCCAAACACCGCTGGGCGTTCGTGTGATTTAAAATGGCCGCTGCCTCGTGGTCGACATACGAACGACGACCACCCTGAATTCGGTTTAATTGAGAAGTGTCTGCGGTTAACCACAACGTTCTAATTGGGATCACTTCGTTAACCAGCAGCACACTCCTCACTTGGGTGGCCGTTCGTTCGGCAGGTTTGTTCGGGAAAAAGAGTCATTCGAATGGCTGGGCTATAGAAACCAGCCATTCATACGAACGGGGGACAAACAGACGAACGTGGTAAAAATCCAAGCAGACAGATGGTTCTGTCACACCTACTTACAACCAGATGAGGACAAGAGGCT